ATGTTGGAAGAGGTAGCGAGCGAACATCAGGAGAAGATACGTTTTCAGCGCTAGCGTTCCCTTATTTTAAATGTGGGTGTAGCAAGTCTCTAATAGAAACGTTCTGATGGCAAATGCAGATTTTCGTTTGTACCAGGGCAGCAGCATGTTGAAAGAGGTAGCGAGTGAACATCAGGAGAAGTTTCGTTTTCAGCGTTAGCGTTCCCTTATTTTAAATGTGGGTGGAGCAAGTCTCTACTAGAAAAATTCTGATGGCAAATGCAGATTTTCGTTTGTACCAGGCAGCAGCATGTTGAAAGAGGTAGCGAGCGAACATCAGGAGAAGATACGTTTCCAGCGCTAGTGCTCCCTTATTTTAAATGTGGGTGTAGCAAGTCTCTAATAGAAAAGTTCTGATGGCAAATCAAGATTTTTGTTTGTACCAGGGCAGCAGCATGTTGGAAGAGGTAGCGAGCGAACATCAGGAGAAGATACGTTTTCAGCGCTAGCGTTCCCTTATTTTAAATGTGGGTGTGGCAAGTCTCTAATAGAAAAGTTCTGATGGCAAATGAAGATTTTCGTTTGTACATATTCCCTCATACGAAAAAAGAATAATTATTCGAGTGACTGCAACTGTATTTTTTTACAAAAAAAATTCAAATATATAAAAAAACAGTTCGACATAGATATATGATATTATACATGTACTATATTTATAATTTGGCAAAGAATTCAAGAATATAGAAATATACAGGGTGATTCAAAATTGGCGTAATTCCTTTTAACGGGTAATAGGGGCTCACTTGTAGAATACGAGAAAAATATTTGTATAATATTTTTGATAATTGAAAATCGAAGTTCAACTTTGTTATTAAGCATTTTATGTTATTTTGAAATTGTTCCATGTTTAATTGGTAGCATATTAGAATACTAAAGCATTCAAAAAGAAAAAAATACGATATTTCCTTCAAATTACGTTTTTGATATTAAAAAAGATCTCTTGGAACTGTGGAAGGAAGTGACATGCAATGATGTTTTTTGTCATTAACAGATAGTTACAGGTAGATAGGTTTTGTCAATAATGACAGTAATATTCCAAACTGTGACTTACTTTGAAGCTCGTTTCACGAATTAACCGACTACGAGAAGCTGCTCGATAATAGTGGATAATAAGGACATTACACAGGCTCTAACTTGTTTGGAGTTAATGACTCAAATGTATGTTTATTTGTAAACATAAATTCGAGGTTATAAGGACAATAATTGACATTTCGAAAGTCCGTTCCACAGTCAACGAATCCTGTTGAATTTACCGTTTATCTTTGTCTTTTTTATTGTCACTTTCTGTATTATTCCATGGTTACCAGAGTTTTTAATAATTCTGAAGCAACATATATTTACGTAATGTTAATTAGGCGGATTACCTTGAAAAACATTGTTGCCGTCCTTTTGATATGGTTTTTTGCCAATTTCTCAGTTTTTAATAACAACTATTTTCTTGGACTCCTAAAACACCGCCAGACAACACCTCCAGAGGAATGACGCCAATTTTGAATCACCATGTAAAATAAGCGAGTTAATATTTACTTCCGGTAAAACCCGAAGTAAATCCAATTTTGAAATTTCTCCTAGCGATGTGCCCTAACTTTTTGCACATGTTTCTCTAAGGAACTCGCACTTTTGTCGAGCATGATTTCCATTGCAACCAGCACATTTGAACGTGTTCTCGTTATAAGACCTTTTCATAACACGTTGAGCGTTTCTTCCATTTTGTTTTTTCCTCGGATCCTTGCTTACGTTTTTATCCTGCCTGATCACAGCTGCGGTGCTTCCAATCTGCGAATCATCCACGCGGGTTTCGTAGCGCTTAATGATAGAACGCACCTCCTCCAGTTTAATACCTGGTTTGTTATCAACAGTTTTGAGTATGACAGTACGAAATAAATCGCAGAAATATATCTATTTCGTGCTGCCACTACATCACAGAAATAAATATTAAAGTTGAGCAATAGTTTCATGTTTATTTCTGCTCTCGAAATCGATAGGTAATCGAAATTGAATGACTTCTGTGCTATTTTAATTGCGGAATAGCATAAGAAAGGTACGAGCTCGTAGCTTTAATTGTTTATATTGTCCTATATGCATCAAAGTGGTTTTTATATTTTAATCTCAAAATCGAAGCGAAATACAAAAAATAAATAATAAACTATGAAGGTGTAGTAAAAGGAAGGAGCTGCCACGAGCGTTCTATATTAACTATTGTAGATGTAGCTGTTCCTTTTGGCTTTTGAAAACAATTACCCCGAATACTTACGCTTTGATTCCACTTCGACTTCTTCAGAAACAGTGCTGTCTTGCAAATCCTCCATTTCGCTTTTCGGAGTTAATTCCTCAATTTTCGATTTATCCCCTAATTGCTCCGTTACATTCTTTAAACTTGACACATGTAACGAACTATTGCGATTTTCCGTCACAAAAATATTATCCTTGTTTTGCTGGTCGTTAAAAATATCGCTAGAAGGCCTTCTGGAGGACGTGGGATATGGATATAATGAACTATCCCTATGTGAGTCTGATCTGAAATCAAGCACGTGTTTGTTAAAATGCAAAATAATGCAATTACACACAATTTCATACGTTGATGCACTCAGATCTTCAACAATTCCACTTGAATAGTTGGTATTATGAACTTCCACGATAGGTAAATCAGGTGGAGCTTCATCAAAAACACTTGACGTTGACTGTACACGATTATAACCAGCACGATCCAACATCCCATCTGATAGCGAAAACGTATCACTTTCAGCGCTGTTATCTGATGATGCATCCCAATCAACAGGTGGTGGGGTTGGATCGAATAAATTGATGTGTGGTGGTGTTTCGAATTTTCGCTGCGATTCTGTTGATCAATATCAAGTTACTTATAGTTATTTGATTACAACAACTTTATTTCAAATCAATTATCACAAACATGCGATGAACTGGAATAACCTGTATAGAAAATGTATGTAGAATTTCTCTCTTCTGCGAACATTCAGACATTTCAGACCAAACAACTATCTCAGACTGACTGAATGTTTGGTATTACTGGCATTGCTAAACGTTTTAGTGGAGGTGCGTTCATCAATGAATTATTGCGTCTGAATGACAATGAAAAAGAGTTAGGCTACACAGTTGAGGATAAGCTTTAGGTGGTTACTCGTAAAAATGTTGAGGAACATTTTAATATGGCATTTTGCCTTCGTTGTTCAGGTTTCGGTCATGTTTCTAAATATTGTAAATTTGTCGAGTGATGTTATAAGTGTTCCTGTGTAAATCAGAGCAATGTCTGCTCCTATGATATTCTGAAATGCGCGAATTGCATTAAATCTAAACTAGATAAAGTTTAGTGTAAACGCTCTGCGTATGACCATAGTTGCCCTATTTAAATTAGGCGACTAAGTTCTTTAAGTTGCGCATTGATTATAATGATACCTTGGATACGAGTGGAAACAATCTGATCGTTGAAATAGGGGAGATTAGTGAATCTCAAGTCCTGTCTTGTCTGAGAAGAATGAGACCCACGGGCATTGCAGAACCGGACAATGTCCCACAGCTTTTGTTGAGAGATTGTGATATTTTATTTTCAGCCCCTTTGACCAAAATATATAATGCTTGTCTCCGTTCGGATGCGTGAAGAGGGGCACAAAGAACTTATTACAGACTTTTAGACCGGTGCAAGTGTCAATTTGTAATTTCTCTAAATTCTTTGAGATTATTATAAATGATATTTGGTGTTATGGCTCATGTTGTTCAAGTTGTTGATAAATGACATTGTTGCTGTTGTCGCGCTCACAAAAGGCTACCCGCTATACTAGTTCCGGGGTTTTTCAATGATTATCAATTTCACTGAAACAGATATGGTTCGTTACAACTTGCCTTTTTGTTAAATCAAACTAAACTTCTCAAAACTGCCAAGAGTCACCAAACGAAGACTTTTTCTACCTGTTCTGTTAACAATAGTTTCCAAAGTTTCCGACATACTCTCACCTGAGGAACTAAGTGTACGATAATATTTCTCAACAACAAAAGAAAACATCAAAACTTTAGAACATAATAATAAGAACAAAACTCAATATTTTTGTTCAAGAAATAATGACAGGGATATATTTTTTTAAATATCTGATAGGCATTTTAGAAGTGCGACCACTACGTGTAACCTCTACTTTTTGCCCTGACAACTTATTATTAATTACACATGGAGACAAACCGCTACAGCTAGTACTGGCTTTCAGAGAAGCACCAGATTCTCTGATATTAACAATCGGAAGAAGGGAAGCACCCTTCCCTTCCGAGATGTCTATCGTCTGCCTTTCCTCGGGTTTCACATCATCTTGAGTAGCTCGATATTCTAAGAGGAGAAGCTTCTGGACGGGTCTGAACAGCTCTCCACGAACTGTTTTAACTTTGACTAGCCGAACTCCACCATCTTSCATCATCCATGCTAGCAGTTCTTGAACTCGACCCAATGGCCAATCAATACGTTTTGTGTTGTCATCCCCRATCAAAACAACGTCTCCCATCTTGACGGCACGACTACGTCGCTTCTGGTTCAAAATCTTTAATTGTCCGAGGTATTCAAATCGGAACCGACTCCCYAAGTTATCCAGCAATCTTTGTTTGTTCCGCACACTACGCGATAGATTCCTTTCGATTTCGTCGCAATCAGGCATATTATCATTAGCCAAGTCCCTTAAAAACATTGCGCGATCAAATCACTCGGATCAGTTGAAATATACGTCAAAGACCTAGAATTTACTACAGACTCACACTAGCATATCAAAGTCAAAAGTTCCTCGTAATTTAGACACGAACGACCAAGAACGCGACGTAACAGTCGCTTAACCATGCCAATGAGTCTTTAGAAGAATCCTCCCCACCACGCCGCGCTGGGAGGGTTGAATCGCCATGCTATGCGCTGGGTTGGCGTCTCCCGCAGTATATGCTCCCACTGCAAACTCGCAAAACATTTTCAGCCCCTCGGAAATTTGTACCATTATTACTGTATAGAGTCTTCGGTATACTGCGACGTGCCACGAAACGGCGAAAAACTTTGTAAGAAACCTGGGGTTGACAAAGATAGCGTAAGTTCCATATGAATTGCTCGATAAACTGCACAAATAAACAAGCAGACCCAGGCCTTTTTCCCGATTTGAAAAACAACGGTCCGGCAAAGTCTACTCCGGTGATCTCGAAAGCGACTGCATCACGCACGCGATCCAACGGTAGAGG